CTACCTTAGGGCTGCGTTCCCCGCGCCCACGCGGTAGACAATAAGGATTTAGCCTCTTGGAGCCTCAGGTTCCATGCCCTCATCTTAGGGAGCGTATCGATAGGAGGCGACAATACAATAGGTGGCTGTTAGTTAGAAGTTGGTCTTTCAGTGGGATTGGTAGAGGATAGTAAGGGTAGACGTTAGTCTTTTAGCGGGATTGGTAGAGCAGTAAGGGTAGGATAGTGTAGGTGGCAGCCAAAGAACAGTGGGGTCTTGCATACAGACCCACAGACTGAGCTGGATGATGCTTCCACTAACTTTACTTGGGAGTGATGTCGAGGGCCCGGGCCTTGAATTTTGGCGATGAAATGGAAATTAGAATTTTGAGGCAAAAAAATAAATAAATCCAACATTGGCGAGCCTCGGCGAAGATTTTCAACACACATACCACAGCCTTTCGGCTGCGAATTTGCTGGAGAACGCCCCGTCCTGCATGGTCAAAAGAATTCAGAACCATCAGCTACCAGCTCCAGTCATTCACAACCCCTCTAGCCTGAACCCTTGACTAAAAAAGAGCAACCACTCCCAGTCATTCACAACCCCTCTCGTCTGAACGGAGAAGAAACCGAGGCCGCAGCCTTCACGGCTGCGACTACCAATTAGCCACACGGGCTGGGTTTAGCCCTGCTGCTCAGGCAACAACTTCGTGTACCGATGACGTCAACAGTTCTCTTCCCTCCCTTCCATGACGGGACTGTTTGATTTTATGCAGTCTCGAGAGAGTCTCGGGACATACCCTGATGACTTTTGTTACCGTAATTGGCCCCAAAAGCCCGGTCCTTAAAAACAACAACAAAAAAAAAAGGCCCGGTCCAATTCATTGAAGCAATTCTCGCTCCAGCAAGCCCGTTCCAACTGGGGATCCCAGCAGGCCTGTGGCATATGAGCGCCAGGCCCGGAAGCACGAGCGGGGCCTGCCCGTCCGTCTCCGCCGTCCCGCCCCGCCCCGCCCCGCCGCGCCCCGGGGCTAGGTCCCACTTACACGAA